ACACACACACACACGCACAGATATATATATGTATACACACACACACACACACCCCTATGGAATGCAGATAACATTGTTGAATTAGACCAAAGATTTATCAAGATTAGTGTCGTATTTCACAGTCACCAACCAGATGCATTTGGAATCAGCTCTAGTGTTAACCATATTACAGTATTGATAAAGCCTGGAAGCTGTAGTTATTTATTAGTAGCTCCATTGAAATACCAATAAATCACTAATTAGTTTTTTTCTCTTGACATGCTATAGTTCTAGAGGTTGTCCCCTATTGTAAGGAACTCTTGCTTTCCACTGCTGCACAGCCGCTTTTCTCATCATTTATTCTCCATATTTTTACATAATGAAATATAACAGCCTTGAAAATAACTACAAGTTGGTTTCACACTGTTTTGGAAGGACTGGAATATGAAAACACTGGTAGAACTGAAGCACCCAGAGACCAAGAAAATGTAAATTGAAACAAAACAGAATAGCACTGAAAAAAGATTTGTCTACAAATATATCAGAAAACAGGTACATTCCAGAAAAGGATACGGGTAAACGTGGACTTTGAAATCAGAGAAAAAGATAAATAGGGACAATTTTCGGTTAGATGCAAAAGACAAGAAAGAAAAGTATGTAATAGAAATGGATCTGAAATTTCACACATATGAATGCAAGTATAAAAGGAAACACTGTGTTAATGTGTAATGTCATATTTTTTTTATGTTACTTCTGTGGTTCTCTCCATCTGACTTAGTAAAAACCTAGACCCTGTATTTACTTTACCACTGCAGATCATGGATAGAAAGGAGACATATGTCTGCAGTCCCATAATGCTTTAAAAACAGCCCCCTTCGTCGTTTTGTCTCAGTCCTGTCTAGACAGGAAAGGCAGACATTCTTCTTGGATGCTCCCAAAAGAAGTTAATCCCTATGGTGTCTAATTGATAGTGCCAGTATCAAATTGAGCAGAATACCTCATTGAAGCTCTTTCTGCATTATCCTTTGTAGAAATATATTCACTAATTTTCTGGCATGCCACCAGAAAACAGCACATAGAAAAAGGTAAAAATATAGAAGCCTGCAAACATCAAACATTATCTGCATCTGATGAAAGAGATTATACTCTAAGAAACCTTATAAAATGTTTAAGGACTACTAGAAGTCTCTGCATTTCTGTTATCCACAGCTATCACAACTCTCTCAGAAAAAATATTACTCACCTGCAAAAATACGTTACGCAGTTCATTTGGATCTGCTCTTTTGGTTGCCTGAACCTATAAAGACAATATTGGGGGAAAAAATTAATAGTTCACTGGTCAAGTTATTCAACAACCAAGAAGTAAAGCCTCTCATAGTACTCTTTGATAAAGGCAGCAAGTTTCTTATCTAAATGATAAAATGTTTACAATATTTATATACAGATTTGTTTTATTTAACTTAAAGGTGCTCATATAATTGTCAAACTCAAAAGGAATTGCCAAGAAAAGAATAGACCGTGTAACAAAGAAAAGTAACAGAATCAACAGGATGCTTCTTGATGGCCTTCCTGATGCTATCAGTCAAACCACATTGCATTGCTATTTCATATTTCTCTTGAATTGACTTTTTGTGGAAACAAAATAAAAATAGAACTGTGAAAAACCAAGAAAAATTTGACAGTAACATCTGGCCTGCAATATAAAATTCAATGAACAAAGTAAGACGGGGTTATGATGAAGTCTCATGTGAAATTATCAAAATGTTCTAAACAGAAGGCAGCTGTGTTCTCAGGCAAAGACAACAGAAACTCAAACATGATCTTGTAGATGCCCGAAAGGACAAGCAGGCTTCCTCAAGTAAATTAATCTCATTCCTGTTCCAAGAAGCAAGATCATATATCCTCTGCAATACAGCATGTGTGAGAGAATATTTTTCTAGATGGACTTCAACTGAATAACTTAAAAATCTATAAAATGACCTTACACAGTCTTTTGCATTAGCCACCTACAAACTTTGGGGAGAAGAGAGCATCAAAATATCCATGTTTGTTATGCATTAGTGACCATTTCAATCCTAATTCTTTTTTTCAGAATCCCCTTTCTGTTCAGAATCACTCACATGTCTTTACATTACTCTTTATCATGTGGGTGCCTTCCAAGATATGCTGAACTACAGGTCCCAGAATTCCCAGCTACATTGGCCAAGAATCATCTAGGCCAGGGGTCTCCAACCTTGGCAACTTTAAGCCTGGTGGGGAATTCTGGGAGTTGAAGTCCGCCAGGCTTAAAGTTCCCAAGGTTGGAGACCCCTGATGAAGGCATCCCTCCAAAAACCAATCAAACAATAGAGTAGGATTGGGGGGGAGGGGTAGATATTCTAAGTTGAACTCTCACCTTCTTCTATATTAAATTAGAAAATAAGATGGTTGGTTGTTCAGTTCCACATCCAAAAAATGCAACATAGCTAGCATGTATGTAGGCTGCGAAAATCAGATTTGTTTCCCTTACAGACTATCCAAACCTAAATTGCTAAATGAGCACAAAGCTTTACTTTTATAGATCAAAGACCACATCGGCGCATTAAATAAAAATTGTCAACTCCCCCCACCCCCAATAATCCACACCTCAACATTCCACTGGCCATTAAATCAGATTAGAGCACTACTCCATTATGCCCACAAATCTGAGGCTGTGAAGAATGTGCTGTGTGCAAGAAGAACCTGGACTCACACTCAGGTGTATCCAGAGGCAGCTTTTAAACACTCCTCCCTGAATCTGCTAAGAATTCCTTACAGTTCGGGAGACTGGCTACTGAGCTAGATGAACCACAATTCTTTAAGCCATCTCGATGTCAACCACGAAAACCCCAAGAGGCAAAACTCTCAGGGAATCCAGGAGAGGTAGGGAGAAGATTATTCCACCTTCTATGGTGCATGGGTGGATTTGATCATTTGATCAAATTGATCATTACACCACACTTTCCACTAAGTAATGGGGAATGGCACATATACAGTTTACTACAGTTACTAAAAGCAGGCTGCAAGAAGGTGCAGCTTAGATACATTTGGCAGCTGAGAAACCAAGTCATCTGGAGTTCATGCTTAGCCAACGTGTCCTCCACCAGACCTCTACGATAACCTTCCCCAACTTGGGACTCTCCATATATGCCAGACTGCAACTCCCAGCCTCAGGGACGATCCTATTCTGACCAAAATTCCCGGAAGACACCGGTGGGGAAGACTGCTGCATATAAGCTGCCCCTTCCCTTGGCTCCAACGGCAGGACTCTTCTTCGAGAGCACCGCGCACCCCCCACCCCCCGGTCTTTCTCTAGGGTCATTTTTTAAAATGTCCGGTTTTTGATAGAATCCACCGCCGTCCCTCTAACTAAAACTATTCCCCTTCCCGCTGCGAGGGGCCCAGGAGCAGGGTGGGGTGGTGGTGTCGAAGCTCTACTCGGGGCTGGCGGGACGGAGCCTCCTGTCCCCCTCCCCGAAAGGCGCGGGTTGGCCCCGAACAACCTTGCCCCGCCGGCTGGAAGAAGCCGCTCGCGCCAGCCGGCTTCTTAAGCAACAAGCAGAGAGAAGGAGAAGGGGAGTCACCTTGACCGCCATGCTGCGCTCGGGAAAGCGGATGGAGGAGGTAGGGGAGGAGGAGGAGGAGCCTCTCGACGGCGTTGTCAAGCAGCGGGCCGCGCCGCCGCCGCCCGCCTACCCTCTGCGAAGGAGGCGTCTCTGCTAAGTTCGGGCTCCGAGCTTGTCCCGGGGTGACCCCGGCTTTGGCACTCCGTCGCCGGAGCGGGCTTGGTTCTAGAGTGTCGGCGTCCTAGACACTCCGCGGAGTGGGGCCGGCGGGGAGAGAAAAGCCCGAAAAATACGTTTGCTCCGCATTCCCAAAACGTTGAGGCCCGCAAGTCGATTAGCCTCCCGAGTGCCACCTGGGCGCGGAGAGGGCGTTGTCGCTCCAGTTGCATCTGGAATGCAGTGGGAATGCCGAGCCCTCATGATCGGCGAAGGAGGAGGGTCCAGATGGTTGAGGGCAATAGGCTGACTCTGTAAACCGCTTAGAGAGGGCTGTAATGCACTGTGAAGCGGTATATAAGTCTAAGGGCAATTGCTATTCTGCGCCCCTCTCTCTCTCTCTCTCTCTCTCTCTCTCTCTCTCTCTCTCTCTCTCTCTCTCTCTCTCTCTCTCTCTCTCTCTCT